TACTGATAAGGCCTTTGGGCTATGGAGTATAACAGAGAAGGTTCAAATCCTTGCTCCTTGATGTGAACATGGGCAGGTTTCTAAATATCTGATACCTTATGTGTAAGGTTTTTTTTTGTTTTTTTTTTAATAGTCACCTGAGGATATGCTTTACTGATTTTGCAGAGAGAGGGGAAGAGAGAAAAAAAGAGACAATTATGAGAGAAACATCGATTGGTTGCCTCCCATATGCACCCCAACTGGGGATTGAACCCACAATCTAGGTATGTGTCCTCACTGTGAATCAAACCAGCAAACTTTCATTGTACAGGATGACACCCAACCAAGCCACACTGGCCAGGGCTGCAAGGTCATTTAATGCATAATCCTCAGGAGGCTAGAATGAGATCATATATCTAAATGTTAATGAGTACAGGCTAAAAGGGGTCAATGGGGGGAAAAGGCGGACATCTGAAATTCCAAAATGGTGGTGGAGTAGGTGAAAGCCACACTGATGCTGTCTCAGGACCAAACTGGAATTACAACTGAAATACATAAAAACCATCCTAAATAACCAATGAATACTAGCTGGAGAGAACTCTGATATCAAGGACAGAAAGTGAAGCCACAAAGAAGGACAGAGGCGGGAAAGAGCTAGCCAGGTGCCCGCAGATAGCAGCTGAGACCGGTTTGGCTCAGTGGATAAGGCGTCAGCCTGTGGACTGAAGGGTCCCAGGTTCAATTCCAGTCAAACGCATGTATCTTGGTTGCAGGCACATCCCCAGTAGGGGGTGTGCAGGAGGCGGCATGTCGTTGTTTCTCTCTCATCGATGTTTCTAACTCTCTATCCCTCTCCTTTCCTCTCTGTTAAAAATCAATAAAATATATATTTTTTAAAAATGTAACCTTAAAAAAAAAAAATGTTGAGAGAAACCAAGATGGCGGCAGGGGTAAACACCTAACTGCAGCCTCACACAACAATTTCAATAAAATACAACTAAAATACAAAATGGACATTACCCAGAACTATAGGAAAGTCGACTGACTGGGAAATCTACGACAAGAAGGAAAGAGAAAACCAGAAGGGAAATCAGAGGAGCTGTAAAAGCCTAAGGTACGGAGACACGCGGCATGCGCAGAAAGGACGAAGCCGGAGGGGAGAGGCGGCTGAGTGCCTGGCTGGCGTTCCCTAGCGGGAAGGAGATAAAAGCTCTGGACTGTGCTGAACCCCAGTTCTGACTGCACTGAACCCCAGTTCTGGGCAAGACCCTGGGGACCCAGACACAAAGGAGGGAGTCTGGGCTGTACGGCAAAGCCTCAGGGGAGCAGAGAAAGGCAGTCTCAGAGGCGCGCACATTACACGCAGAGGATGGACTGTTGACTCTGCTAGACTGCCCTAGCGGGAAGGAGACAAAAGCTCCGGACTGTGCTGAGCCCCAGTTCCTACTTCCCTGAACCCCAGTTTTAGGCCAGACCCTGGGGACCCAGGCTCATACAGAGGGAGCCTGGGCTGTAAGGTGGAAACTCAGGGGAGCGGCAAAAGGAAGTCCCGGGGGCGCGCACATTGCACGCAGAGAACAGACTGTTGACTGTGCTGCTGGATTGCCCTAGCTGGAAGGAGACAAAAGCTCCAGACTGCACTGAACCCCACTTCCAACTGCACTGAACCCCAGTTCCAGGCTCACTGGGGGAGAGCCTAGACTGTTTGGTAATGGGCGAAACTCAAGGGCACCTTTCTCTCAGAGGTGCTTGTGAGTACCGAAGGATACTGAGGAACCCTGAGACTCAGAAGCCTCATAAGGGGGGGCTGACGGAAGCCAAGGCTGTAGGCTCCACCCTGAAACTCTGCCCCATCCAAGCTGAGTACAGAGGCTTTTAAAGCTAGCAACTCAGGGAAGCTGTGAAAATGCCGATACAAGGAAATAGATCACAAACAAAAGAAATGGAGGACAAAAAGTGACTGGATACAGAGTTCAAAACCATAGTTATAAGATTTTTTTAAGAATTTCCTAGAAAAGACCGATAAAATAAATGAGATCTATGAGGATATGAAAAAGGATCAACTAGAAATAATAAGGGATCAACAAGAAATAACAAGGGATCAACAAGAAATAAAGAGTACATTTTCTGAAATAAAAAATATTATACAGAGTCCTAAAAACAATGGAAGATCACAAGAATCAAGTCAAAGATTTGGAACATAAAGAGCCAGAGAACACTCCTCCGCAGAAGCAAGAAGAGAAGAGAATCCAGAAAGTTGAAGATAATGTAAGAAACCTCTGGGACAACGTCAAGCGAACCAACATCAGAATTATGGGGTTCCCAGAAGAGAGAGAGCAAGATACTGAAAACATATTGAAAGAAATAGTGACAGAAAACTTCTCCCACCTGGTGAAAGAATTAGACTTACAAGTCCAGGAAGTGCACAGAACCCCAATCAAAAGGAATCCAAAGAGGACCACACCAAGACACATTATAATTAAAATGCCAAGAGCAAAAGACAAAGAGAGAATATTAAAAGCAGCAAGAGCAAAGCAGGTAGTTATCTATAAAGGAGCACCCATAGGATTGTCAGCTGATTTCTCAACAGAAACCATGCAGGCCAGGCGGGAATGGCAAGAAATATTCAAGGTGATGAATAGCAAGAACCTACAGCCAAAAATACTCTACTCAGCAAAGCTATCACTCGGAATCGGAGGCCAGATAAAGAGCTTCACTAATAATAAAAAAAAAAAAGCTAAAGGAATTGATCACCACCAAACCAGAATTATATGAATTGCTGAAGGGGGTTCTTTAGGAAGAGGAAGAAAATAAAGATAAAAATTATGAACAACAAATACGTAACTCTCAACAACTGAATCTAAAAACCAAGAGAATTAAAAAACTCTGATGAACAATATTAACTGGTGAATATTATGTAATAGAATCAGAGGTATAGAAGGGGAGTGAACTGATGATTCTCAGGGAAAAGGGGAGTAGGGGTGTGTGGAAAGAGACTGAACATAAACTGTGTACCTGTGAATGAGGACAATCGGGGGTGGGAAAAGGGCAGAGGGTGGGGTGGGAACCTGGGAGGGGACCAATGGAGGGGGAAAAAATGAGGAACATTTGTAATACCCTGTTTCCCCCAAAATAAGACAGTGTCTTATATTAATTTTTGCTCCCAAACATGCACTAGGTCTTATTTTCAGGGGATGTCTTATTTTTCCATGAAGAATTTTGTGCACATTTATTGTTAAATGAAAATAAAGGAAATTTATTACCTGTATACGGTACGGTAGTACGGTAGTTGTCAACACAAACCAGACAAACTGTGAATCCTACAGTATCAAGAATTTACTCATTTATTCAATGACAATCATGCCATCATCTTCTGGAACATCATCATAACAATCCAATTCCTGAATTTCCTGGTGAATTTCTTGTGACTCCATTTCTTTCAGAATCAGTGGACCAAATCTCTCATGTTTAGCCTAGGGGTGGGGGGGCCTTATTTTGGGGGAATGCCTTATATTTCACTCAGAAGGAAACTTGTAAGTAGGTCTTATTTTTGGAGGATATCTTATTTTCAGGGAAACACGGTAATATGAACAATAAAGATTTATTAAAAAATAAATAAATAAATAAATACCTTTTAGAGGAATTTAAGGAAGAGATCAACAGCAATTCAGTCATAGTAGGGACTTTAATACCCTGCTGACTTCACTGGATAGTTCTTCCAGACAAAAAAATTAATGATGAAACAGTGACTCCAAATGACACACTGGACCAGATGGAATGATTTTTTTTTTTATTAGTGACTTTAAAAGTTGACATTTATAGAACATTGCACCCCAAAGATGCAGAATATACATTCTTCTCAAGGGCACATGGAACATTCTCAAAGATGGGCCACATGTTAGGACACAAAACAAGTCTCCACAAGTTCAAGAAGGTTGAAATAAAATGACAATGGAATGAAATTAGAAATAAACTTCGGTAAATACACTCCAAGACATTCAAACACTCGGAGGCTAAAAAGCATTAACAATGCTTTAAACAATGAATGTGTTACCAATGACATCCAGAAAGAAATAAAAAAAACTTCCTGGAAACAAATGAAAATGAATACTCAACAACCCCAAATCTCTGGGAAACAGCAAAAGCAGTCCTGAGAGAGAAATTCATCAAAAAACAAAACAAAAAAATTATTAATAAACTATCTCACCCTACAATTTGAAGAATTGGAAAGAAAACAAGAAAAACCCAGAGAAAGAAAGAAAGGAAGAAAGGAAGAAAGAAAGAAAGAGAGAGAGAGAGAGAGAGAGAGAGAGAGAGAGAGAGAGAGAGAGAGAGAGAGAGAGAGAAAGAGAGAGAGAAGAGAGAAAGAGAGAAAGAGAGAAAGAGAGAAAGAGAGAAAGAAAGAAAGAAAGAAAGAAAGAAAGAAAGAAAGAAAGAAAGAAAGAAAGAAAGAAAGAAAGAAAGAGAGAAAGAAAGAAAGAAGGGAAGAATAGATTAGAGGTCAATGGCAGCGGGAGGGGTAGGGGGTCCTAGGGACAGATGTAATTCTTTCCACAATAAAGATTTTTTTTATCTCAAAAAATAGAGAAGCGGCATCTGTAATACTTTGATCAATAAAGATACATTTAGACTAATAATAAATGTTAATAATGATCAATACTGCCTACCAAGGAAGCGATCTTTCCCCACAGAGACCCATGGGCCCTGCAGTGACACTGTGCCTGTGTGTGTTACACTTGCCAGATGGGGGTGAAACTGGACCAGGGACTCACTGAGCCTCATGTCCTCACCTATCGAAGGGGGATGGTAATAGTTTCTACCTGGGGGTTATTGTAGAATTCGAAGACTAAATAATGCACAATATGGAGGATTATATAAGTGATAGCAACCGGCTGGCCCATAGGAGCTCTCAATGTCGTCATCATCATCATAACCATTTACGCTGAACAACCTGAGCCTCCATGAAGGCAGGTGGGAGGGAGGCAGTGGTGCGTGGGCCTGGAGACCCGGGACCCAGTCACCTGGCTGAAGCGTCCCATCGCTGGCGGCAGCCCCCTTCTTGAGGAGGTGGGTGATCTGGAGGTAGGGCCCATGCTGGATGACGATCAGGCCTAGCCCCAGGCTGCCCACGGGGAGTTCGGTCCTCTGAGTTATGCTCAGGTTGTGCACCTTGAGGCTGAGTTGTTTTTCTGACAAAGAGAGGGAGATGTGTTTTAAACCTTCATCCAACAACAGCATGGCAGGCATCACTAGTGCTCTAAGTGGACCTCCAGGGCAGTTAACATCTCCTGTCCTCAGTTTCCTGATCAGCAAAGAGAGGACAGTGAGTGTCCACCTCAGAGGCTGTGATGAGAATTAAATTGGGCAATGAAAGGCTTCTGCACAGAAGCCAGCACACTGTGAATGTTTAGTTAACGTTAGCTATCATTATCCATTCACTTAACAAGCATTTACTGAATCAGAAGTGTCTGCCCTCACAGATCTTCCCACCTATGAGGAGACAGATACCCAGTAGTCAGGGAAACAGATGGTGAGTAACAGGGTGACACAGGCCAGGCAGGAAGACACAGGAAGCTCAGCGGGACCAATAGGAGGCCAAGGTCTCCTGCGGGGAAGGCGGGTCAGGCTTCACAGAGGAGGCAACATTTGAATTAAGGTCAAAAGGACTAATCAGAAATATTTATGCGAAGGAGGTGAAAGAGAGCAAATGAGACCAAGGCTGAGAAGCAGGGAAGGGTGGAGAGGAGGAGGGCAGCAGGGGAAGCCAAGGCAGAGCAGACCTGCCTCTTCTCCCTGCCTGGGAAAGCTAGATGCTGTTTTCACAGACACAATACCATTTGCATTTATTATATATATTTTTTTTTTTTTTTTTTTTTTTTTACAGAGAGGAAGAGAGAGGGATAGAGAGTTAGAAACATGGATGTGAGAGAAACATCGATCAGCTGCCTCTTACACACCCGCTTCTGGGGATGTGCCCGCAACCAAGGTACATGCCCTTGACCGGAATCGAACCTGGGACCTTTCAGTCCGCAGGCCGAGGCTCTATCCACTGAGCCAAACCGGTTTCAGCTAATTTGCTTTTTTTTTTTTTTTTTTTTAAGGAACCTCCTGCTTCTGTGTGGAGCAGGAATAGGGGCCCAGAGTGGACTTGAGAAATGAAGGGTTACTGCAATCATCCAAGCAGTCATGACCATGCGTGGGAATGCACATCAGGATAACAGCATTTGGGAAGAAACTGGGTAGTGGGAGGGGTTGAAATAGGCTTTCTATAGGACTGAACCTCACAAGGAAGTTTCAAAGGCTGAGCAGTGATTTAAAACAAGAGGAAGCTTCCTTTTCACTATAGGAGCTTCTGGTGAAATGTGTTTTCTGCACACTTTTCCAGCGTTTCATACACACACACTCACACATACTCACACACACACACACACACACACACACTCACACACACACTCATACACACACACAACTCATACACATACACACACACATATACACATACATACACATACACTTACACACACACTCTCTCACACACACACACACACATACACTTAAACACACATACACTCTCTCACACACACACATACACTTAAACACACACACTCACACACACATACACTTACACACACACTCTCTCTCACACACACACACACATACACTTAAACACACATACACTCTCTCACACACACACATACACTTAAACACACACACTCACACACACATACACTTAAACACACTCACACACACACATACACTTACACACACACGCGCGCACACACACACACACACCCCGCTTTTCTCTAAGGATAAATGACAAACTGCTACTTGGCATGCCTTTACCAAGTCCGCGTGCCGTATTTGGGGCTGGAGACCTCGCTCCTGAGGAAGGGCCTCCTCTTCTCCCCCCAGCTGCGGGGACTGGCAGGTTCAGGGCCCATCTCCAAGCTGTCTGCCAAACAAGGCAGCCTGGGGTTAGAGGGACCGGCTTCAGGAGCTCTGCAGGAGTGTAGGGGCAGCGCCAGGAGGAGGGCCTACTGGCCTTGGGTCCTGGGCCCAGAAGGGCCTCTTCACAGGGCTCCCAACCACCCCAGCTTGTAAATGACCTGTCCTGGGGGTGTGGTCCTGGAAGTGTGGTCCTGGGGGTGTGGTCCTGAGGGTGTGGTCCTGGGGGTGTGGTGGGCCTGGGGGTGTGGTGGGCCTGGGGGTGTGGTCCTGGGGAGGGGGTGGCCCTGGGGGTGTGGCCTGGGGGTGTGGTGGGCCTGGGGGGGTGGACCTGGGGGTGTGGTCCTGGGGGTGTGGTCCTGGGGGTGTGGTCCTGGGGGTGTGGTGGTCCTAGGGGTGTGGTCCTGGGGGTGTGGTGGTCCTGGGGGTGTGGTCCTGGGGGTGTGGTCCTGGGGGTGTGGTCCTGGGGGTGTGGTGGTCCTAGGGGTGTGGTCCTGGGGGTGTGGTGGTCCTGGGGGTGTGGTGGGCCTGGGGGGGGGTGGGCCTGGGGGTGTGGTCCTGGGGGTGTGGACCTGGGGTGTGGTCCTGGGGGTGTGGTCCTGGGGGTGTGGTCCTGGGGGTGTGGTGGTCCTGGGGAGGGGGTGGGCCTGGGGGTGTGGTGGGCCTGGGGGTGTGGTGGTCCTAGGGGTGTGGTCCTGGGGGTGTGGTGGTCCTGGGGGTGTGGTGGTCCTGGGGGTGTGGTCCTGGGGGTGTGGTGGTCCTGGGGAGGGGGTGGGCCTGGGGGTGTGGTGGGCCTGGGGGTGTGGTGGGCCTGGGGGTGTGGTGGTCCTGGGGGTGTGGTGGTCCTGGGGGTGTGGTGGGCCCGGGGGTGTGGTCCTGGGGAGGGGGTGGGCCTGGGGGTGTGGTGGTCCTGGGGGTGTGGTCCTGGGGAGGGGGTGGGCCTGGGGGTGTGGTGGTCCTGGGGGTGTGGGCCTGGTGAGGGGGTGGTCCTGGGGGTGTGGTGGTCCTGGGGGTGTGGGCCTGGGGCTGTGTGGGCCTGGGGGTGTGTGGGCCTGGGGGTGTGCTCTGCAGCCAGAAGGACCGCAGAGAGAGGGAGAGAGGCCAGACTGGAAGGCTCCACGCTGTAGGTGCCAGTGGAGAGGCCAAGTGCAGCCTTGGACGGGGTGTCCGCAGAGGTCCAGCTCACAGCCCTGTCCCCTGACACCACCCGTCCCCCCTCCCCCGGTCACTGTGCGGGGGGCCCGGCCGACAGGCCAGAGGGCCCCACCTCCCTGAGCGGCAGGCGGGGGTGGACGGGCAGGCCTCTCCCGCCCCGTCACCTTTTCTGTCTTTGGAGACGCCCTTCTTCATGGCCCCCAGGGAGGCGGGAGGTGGGCCCCGGAGCCGGAGCCGGAGCCGGCCGACTCCCAACGGCCGGCCGGGAACCTGGAGGCACGAGGAGCCGAGTGCACACGTGCTCCCCACTCCCCGCGGGGGTGGGGCGGGGAGCCCGAGGGCCCCGCGACCGTGACCGCGACCCTGACAGCCGGAGTGACAGCCGAGTGGGCCGCGGTGCTGTCACCACAGGCTTCGGAGGGCCCCCGGAAACCGGGTGAGGGCCCGGGAAACAGCGTGAGCTCTGGCGGAGAAAACAGCTTGTGCAGGAATAGCAGGCGAGGCTCCTGTGGGTTCGCACCCATCCTCCCCCCCATTCTCGGCCCCCCCCCCCCGCACCCATCATCCCCCCTCCGCACCCATCCTCCCCCCATCCTCCCCCCGCATCCATTCTCTCCCCCCCGCACCCAACCTCTCCCCCCCCTGCACCCATCCTCCCCCCCCGCACCCATCCTCCCTCCCGGCACCCATCCTCCCCCCCCCCGCACCCATCCTCCCTCCCCGCACCCATCCTCCCTCCCCGCACCCATCCTCCCTCCCTGCACCCATCCTCTCTCCCCCGCACCCATCCTCCCTCCCCGCACCCATCCTCCCCCCCCCGCACCCATCCTCCCTCCCCGCACCCATCCTCCCTCCCCGCACCCATCCTCCCTCCCTGCACCCATCCTCTCTCCCCCGCACCCATCCTCCCTCCCCGCACCCATCCTCCCTCCCCGCACCCATCCTCTCCCCATCCTCTCTCCCCCGCACCCATCCTACCCCCCTCCCCATTCCGGAAGAGCCGCCGTGCGCTGCCCTCGGAGCAGAGGCATCTTATTTATTTTAAAATATATTTTATTGATTTTTACAGAGAGGAAGGGAGCGGGGGAGTTAGAAACACGGATGAGAGAGAAGCATCACCACCGGGAGAGGCCTCTAAACGCCCCTCTGGGCGCGCCTTCGGGTGAGAAGAGCCGGGGTGGCCGAGAAGGAGGGGTTATTCTCCTTTCGCCAGCCCGGAGCCCGCCGGGGAGGTCACACACGGGAAAACAATCCTCACACACACTCCGGGAGGGAGGAGGGCAGAGCAGGCGGCCCTCTGTCCCCCACCTGGCGAGGCTGAGGGCTGGCGCCGCCCCTCCCGCCTCTGCCATCAGCAGGCGCGGGCACCCAGCGTCCTCCCCCTGCTCCCCGCTCTGGGCTCTCCGCGGGCTTCTCCTCCAGGCCACCTGGGGAAGCCTCCGTCCAGGGCCACAAACTCTTCCCGAAAGCTCGCTTCCCTCCGCTGTCCTGTGCACGGAACGGGAGCCCCGTGGGCAGGAGGCGTGATCCCCGGTTCCTGCGGAGGGCACTCCGGCGGGCTCCACGCTGCCCCTCCACCCGGGGAGGGCTGGGCCACCTGATGGCTGCAACTGCGGGGCAGACTATCATGGGACTGGAGGATGCCCGCCCCCCCCTCACCCTGCTGCTAGCTGCCCCCCTTACCCCTGCTGCTAGCTGCCCCCCTTACCCCTGCTGCTAGCTGCCCCCTCACCCCTGCTGCTAGCTGCCCCCCTTACCCCTGCTGCTAGCTGCCCCCTCACCCCTGCTGCTAGCAGCCCCCTCACCCCAGCTGCTAGCTGCCCCCTCACCCTGCTGCTAGCTGCCCCCCTTACCCCTGCTGCTAGCTGCCCCCCTTACCCCTGCTGCTAGCTGCCCCCCTTACCCCTGCTGCTAGCTGCCCCCTCACCCCTGCTGCTGGCTGCCCCCCCTCACCCCTGCTGCTAGCAGCCCCCTCACCCCTGCTGCTAGCAGCCCCCTCACCCCAGCTGCTAGCTGCCCCCTCACCCCTGCTGCTAGCTGCCCCCTTACCCCTGCTGCTAGCTGCCCCCCTTACCCCTGCTGCTAGCTGCCCCCTCACCCCTGCTGCTAGCTGCCCCCTCACCCCTGCTGCTAGCAGCCCCCTCACC